AAAGGCCTTGCTGAAGTCCAGAAAGACTACATCCACCATTCTGTGGATAATGGTCCATAGAAAAACAGTACAGCATGTTTTATATAGTTGTAAAACTTAAGTAGGCTTTGTCCCAGAGTGTTTGTAATTGGGAACCTAGCATTAGCATCAAATCCCAACAGCCTCTCTGGGGACTTCTGCCTGATTGCTGAGCAGTTCTGGAAATTGGGTAATTTTATTTAGTTGCTTAAATGTGAGTGTGCCATGATATGAGTTGGTATTAGACCTGGGATGAGATCTCAGCAGTTTCTGACTCTCATTTCCATTCTGAGTTTAGTCTGGTGTCTGTAGTTGGAGCTGAGGGTGTTCAGCCCCACTTGAAAACCAGATCCTGATCATCTCCAGTTGCACCTCCAGCAATGGAGTCATCTGGTCCCAGTAGGAATCAGGTTCAGATAACTTTTGATATTTTAAATTTGCCTCCAACCACTATCCATTTAACTCTTCCATTCCTCTGTCTCCCACAATTCCCTTCTCTTCTCCAGGTTCACCAGCCCCCAGACACCAGAACGCAGGTCCAGCAGACCAATGACCTACTGACTCAGTTTGCTGAGGAAGTGGCTGTTGATGAGTGGTGTAGTCCAGGAGTCCAGGCACAAGGTACCTCTTACTATCTGCCTCTTGCAGGTTGCCTTTTCAAAGTCACTTGGTGACACTAGTTGGTGTGAGGATCAAGGCTTGAAGGTGTTTTCCTTTTTCAAGGGTAATGTTGTTTGGTTAATATTTCTAGTTTTTGAAGGCAGCTGCTCACTGTGAAGGAAAAAAATGCTACCTCCAGCCATTCAGTGCTGTGTTACACAGCCTGTGTGTTAGTAGTCAAGGTCTGGTGATACCACTCTGCCCAGCGTCATGCCCAGTGTCCTTTGTGGTTTAGTTAAAGCTTTCTTACTTGCCATGGTGAGTTCTTCCACAAATGGTTTCTCTTCTGTGGAACCCCACTGAGAACGGCAGTGAGACTCATTTCTGTGGTCACCATTCAATGAAGGCCCTGATGCAGTGTAACTTTCATTATGGAAAACGGGGAACTGTGCAGCGGAACCTTGGTGGTCCATCTATTATTAAACGAGATGTGTGCTCTTAGTCTTTTCTTTTAATAGCCTAGGCTGTGCTGAGGGGAGGACTGCCACTGTAACACCTGTGTGTTCTCTTTGTTTTCCAGCTGTTAATATCCAGACCCTGAATGATCTCAATCGCAAGAATGAGAGTGATAGCAGTTTTGGGTCCAAATCTGTAATGGAGATAGAGGAGGAGAAGAATAAACTTCTAGCAGAGGCTGCTACTGAGCTAAGGGAGGAGAACACTAGACAGGACAAGATTCTAGAAGTTGCGAAGAGATTGGCAGTACTCAGAGGCCAGGACCCTGAGAGAGGTGAGTAACAGGGAAGAACACAGTGCTGGAAGAGAGCAGACCTGAGAGCACAGTGGTTGACTTAGATTCTCTTCCCATAACAAAGCAATATCCCTTCCAAATAAACCCCTCAATCATTCTGTATCCTCCTTACAGTGTGTGCTTTGCTCTTGGCTTTGCCAGAGCCAGTACTGGGTTACGGTTTGGCACACCCCTCAGATTCAACTCACTGCTCAGAATGGTGTGAGCTGGGAAGAGATACTATCCCAACTCACTATAGTCTCATAACTTTCCATACCTCTTGCAGTTACTCTGGATGACTATAAACTCCCAGACAGTGATGAGGAGATGGATGAAGAGCAGGCCATTCAGAGAGTCCTGAAGCAGGTTAGAAGTTGATACTAGGACTTCACTTGCTTTCTTTTTTAACTAATTCCAAGTCATTTTGTTAGCAGTTCAGCAGGCACAAAGAACATCCTCTGTCTTTTTTTTTGTTTCACTTGAACTAACTCTCGATTTCAATAGATAATAGAACATTTCTATGACCCAGTCACCTAAGTCTAGTGGCCCTGGCTTCTCTGTTCCAGTGTGTCTTTCACTCCAGCTGACGTACCACTATCGTGGTAACTTGTCCTTCCTAGGTAATTAAATGACTTGCAGTTTGAATTCTCCATTCCCCTTGCCTAGTGTATCTTCAGAATTTGCAGCAAAATCTAAGGCCCAGCCAGTCATAGGCTACACAGGACTTTGAAGTCTCTTGTGCTTATGTCCTGTCACTCTCATCTTCTCTCCCTCTCCTAACTCCTTTCCTCCACTCGGTTGTTGCTTGTTCTATATCCATGCCCCCTCGAACAGGAGAGCATGCAATATAGTTCTCTTTGTAGAGGCAGGTTCTGTTCCTATCGGATTTCTGGCTCTAATGATAGTTTGGAAGTTTAGGCGGGGGGTAGGGGGACAGTTGAAACGAGACAATTTTTTTTGTCGTCACTTGTTACCAGCTTACAGAGGAAGCAGCTCTGGATGAAGCAAGTGGTTTCAACATCCCTCCAGATCAAGCCACCCAGCCTGGAGTCTCACAGCAGAACCTACCCAAGAAAGCAAAGCAGAAGGTGAGTCAGTCGAGCCCTCTTCAAGTGACGTTTTAGCTTCCTGACACAACACGTTTCTTTGTAACACAAACATCCACCATATCTTGAGGGTATTGTAGCACAGTATTTATTGTGCTTTGGACTCCTAAAACCATAATATGGGGAGGGGCTCATCTTGGATTTGAGTATGAGGTGGGGGGGGTAAAACAGGCACACATGACTGGGGTTGGAATCAGAGCTGCAGCTGCTGTCATTTCCATTCCCACCCCCTGGCAGCTGGGTAAGGTCTAGAGACAGCATCAGTAAGCAAGTGCATGCTCTCACTTGCATCCAGTGAAGGGAATTAGTAATGGGATGCCAAGTAGTCAGGGCTGATTTACATCTTATTACTTAGAGGCACACATGCTCTCTAAAGTAATTTGTAAGCATTAAATTAATCTGTAATATGTGTCACTGCGATTGCATGTTTCAAATCCAAGAATATCTTTAATTATTGGTGTTATCAAAATGTCAGTAAGTGTGTTAGACTTCAAAACTGATCACTTTATCATCATTTTGTTAGGAATCTGTTCTTACAACGTGTGAAGAATATTTTCATGCTTTTCCCCAAATATGCACTTGGAAAGGTTAGTTTTTAGCTGTGGCTATTACCATAATGGCAGCATGAACAAGAGGAGTTAGATAGTCTTGTGAGTAAGGCATTAGTCTTTGACATGGGTCTTGAGTTCAGCTCCTGGCTTAGCCACAGGCCTTCTGTGTAATCTCTTGCAAGTGACCTAAGACCTCTGCTTCAGTTTCCAGTATAAAATGGGATTAGTGTTACTACCTTTACTTCCACACCTGGTGAGCCATTCTTATCAGAAGATGTCTTTTTCTATGAGTTAGTACAGTGCCTGACACAGAGTAGATGTTGCTGTTGACATTGGACAGACAGGAATGGTTACCTACCTGTCAAGAAAGATGAATGTACAACTAAGTATGAGTGCGTGAATTTTAGTCTTTATTTGAGGTGGGGGGGGGGAAATAGATTATAATCTATATGCAAACCAGCCCTTTGACTCCTGGCTAGTTCACTGGGCAGAACTTGATACAGCAAAAGTTGGATGCTTTGGAGGGTAGAGTGACATTGAAATAATGTGTGAGTATTTGTAGCCAGTGTATATTAGAACAGGGCTGTCTAACTGGCAGCCTGTGGCCGTATCTGGCCCCTAAGGGGTTAACATGCAGCCCCAGGCTCTCCTGCCTGTCTGCTGTTCTCCCCATTACCACTGCTGTTGTGGCGACAGGTTTTCAGGCTCCCCTTCCTCCTCTGGCTTCTGCTTCCTGCCTCCACTTCTAAGGCTAGGGTAGGGCTGGGCAGCAGGAGGGTGCTGCACACAGTAGAGGGAAAGCTGGACTGCCCATGCCATAAGAGGGGGTCACGTGCATGTGGCCAGGAGGTATGCTGAGCTGCTCACTCTGCCTGCACTGGGGAGGAATGCCAGTTTCCTTGCACCACCTGTGTGGTGGATGGGAGACCCCAGAGGGCTGTAGCCCATGCAGCCCAGAGGTCTGTGGCTCGCAGGGTGTGCACCCCCCAGGCCAGAAGTTGGACAGCCCTGTATCTTTTGCAAGTGCAAGTCCTCTGAGTGTCTTTTCTGGACAGAATCGCCCTCTGTAAAACTTCTTGCTGCCTTGCCTTCAATTTGTGTGCAAGCTGAGAAGATCCATGAAGCTCCAGTTCAGTCTAATTCTTGTGCATTATCCTAGCCTGTCACCTGCTTTTGTTTAATCTGGTTTCTTCTTGTATTAGAGTCAAGCTCCAGCCAGCATAACCACTGCTAAGAAACCCAGTTTGATGGCTGAGGCAGAAGACAGTAATGAGGAGGAGTTGCCATGGTGCTGCATTTGCAATGAAGATGCCACATTACGTTGTCATGACTGTGATGATGATCTCTACTGTCAGCGATGCTTCCGGTAACTGGGCTGAGATCTTTTGGATAGAAATGTGCATCAAGATAAACCTTTTCCTTCCACACCAAGTTTATAGTTCTTATACAAGTAACTATCCTTTGTCCATTAGCAGAAGGAGAAATTTGAGGAACTGAATAGTTCAGTAAGTTGCCAACCCTTTAATGATTTTTTTTCCCCAACATTGGGCATTTATTTCATTAGCTAACTTGGAACTTATAAGCACTGTTATCAGAAATAAAACTGGGGTCAGGGAAAGTATTCCTTCCCTGCTTTAACACTGCAAGCTAAAGTGTATTATGAGGATGTTATACCTATCTCTGAAGCTAATTTCTGCTGGAGGCCAAATAAGTGAGATCATTGTTCAGGTGTGGCTGTTCCCATGGTTGGTTGATGTTGATGGATAATAGGGCTGCGCAAAGCTTTGGGTGGTGATTTGATTCGGAGGAGATTCAGCCCAATTCGGTGGCCAAATCTTCAAATCCAAATTGAATCAGGACCAATTAAAAGGTCCGAATTGATTTGAAGCTCTCTGAATCTTCAGAAAAGATTTAGAGAGCTACAGTGATTTGGACAGTTCCTTGTGGCTGCAGCAGGGAGTTGCAGCCAGACTCAGAGTTGGAGGAAGGGGAACTGGGTGGAGGGGACCATGGGGGACCTCTGCCTGCTCTCCCGGCCCTTTTAAAGAAAAGCCCGAACTCACTGCGTGCTGCCGGGCGGGGGGTGATCCCTGCTGCCCCCCACTGCCCCATGTTGTGTGTGGGGCTCTGCACGAGCCCCCCGCCTGCCACAGCTGCAGCCCTTTAAGAATTAAAACCAAAACTCCAGAACACATCACTCCTGCAGTGGCCTCAGGGTTTTGTGGGGCTCATACAGAGCCCCCCACATGGTAGGCAGTGGGGATCACCCCCCTGCTGGCAGGAACAGTGAGTCCAGGGGTTTTCTTGGTTTTTTTCTTAAAGGGCCAGAGCTGTAGTGGATGGGGCAGCCACGAGGGGCTGGGAGGGTCAGGGGGGCTCATGCAGAGGCCCCCCCATGCAGTGTGGGTCAGTGGGGATTGCCCCCCACCCAGCAGCACCCAGTGAGTTGGGGCTTTTTTTTTCCCCCAAGTGCCAGGAGTTGGGGCGGGCAGGGCAGCCATTGCTGGGCTGGTGGGGGGATGGGCTTGGCTGGTTCAGAGATTCAGCAGCAGCTGAATCTCCAAATCAGATTTGGTTGAATTGATTTGGGACAGAAATTCGAATCACTGTCCCCTAGATCAGCCGATCCAAAGCAAATACTAGCCATTTCACACAGGCCTCATGGCCAGCTGTTGCTGGCAGAGAGACCAGGTAAAATCAAAAACAAAGGAAATTTACAAGGATAGAACCTGTGACCTGAAATGAAGAAGACTTTTTTTGGTGTTTAGTTAGGGGGGCGGGGTTCTTTCTGGAGTATTTGAAATTGGAGTCTCCATTTTGTTTATCAGCAACTTCCAGTTTGCAGTTAAGCAATACAGTAGCTAGTTTTAACTCTTTTAAAAAAAAAAAAAAAAAAAAAAAAAACCCAACTCCTAAAGTTTTTTGACTTCTGGCAGCATAACAATCTTTGGGTTGGGGAATTATTTTCCTTAGAACAGTGTTTCATCAATCTTGGCTTCTAATTTATTTACATTTATCCCTCTTTTTAAAATATTGAAGTTGCTTGATTCCCAAGGCTAGCATTGTACAGAAGCTGAAAATTAGCCTAAAATGGAAACTGGATAGTAGCAAGAAATGTGTTTGTTTTGTTTTGTTTTTTGGTCATTTCAGGGCTTGTACATGGCTCTGCAGAGAGCGATGCTTGGAGCAAAAAAAATATATTAAATAGTAAGAAACGTGTTACAAGTGAAGCTAGCTAAGTTTAAAGAACAGTTGGCCAAACAAAAACAGGGTATTAAGTCAGTTTGCCACGTGCTGCAGACCAGGGATTGTGTCCTTGCCTAACCCTGCCTGCCTGCCTCTGTTCAACTTGCTGCATATGTAACAGAAGAGAAATCCACTGAGTAGGGATTCTAGCCTCTGCAGTACACGTTAGCATTGTAATGGCATCACCTTCATTATGATGCTGAAAATGACCACTAATGACGTTGAGCATGCACCTTTCAGAAAGAAAGGAACTCTGTCATTTTTCTTGCTAGCAGTCAGAAGATGGAGAGGAGGATTCAGATTTATCTGGAAGTCTCCCCCTTCAAATAAATTACTAGTGTGATGATATTAAAAAAAAAAAAAA